CCCAAAAAATTTGTCTAGACAAAACTTAATTTGTAGTCCGGATAATTTTGTAAAATTCTTCGTCTTTTGAAAATCGTTTCACGCGTCTCATCATATTGTCTGATAAGCTCCTCCCAGTCAATTTCCTTCGCAGCTTTTCCCCTTGATTCTCCTTCCCATCACTTAATTCACTTCCCTTTGGCTAGATACTCGCACGTTTTCTTTTCTTCTAATCCTTCGAAAACCCTAGCTCCGTCGCCCTTCAGTGCATTTTCTCCTTCATTTTCTTTCACACGATGAGCTGAATCTGTTCAAGTTCCGAAGGTGGTGATCTTGGTGTTCGTTCTTTTGTACCGATCTGTGAACCTCCGACTCTGATTTGGTGGTTCTGGGGTGGTTTGAAAGTTCCCAGCACCGATTTGGCGTCTCTCAGCACATTGTGGTGGTTTTTTGTTCGGGTCGGCAATTTCTAGCAACGGTTCGGCGATTCTTTCACCACAGGGGGTGGGGGGGCTCCGATGTCTAGGGCTAAACCAGGCACATGAACCAGCCATATTCATGCGGCAACCCCGGGGGGTGCGGCTCCGGCCTCTGTTGGTAGTCGACGTGTGCTCGCGCCATTCGTGAGGGATGATGAGGGTGCATCCGAGGGTTTTGACGATGTTCTCGGAGGGAGTAAACTTTTATTGTCTGAATCTTGGCTTCATTTTACTAGTTTTTCTTCTCGCATCTTTCGTCTGCCTAGTGATACTTAGAATTCAAATCGTGGATGGATAGACTAGGATCTTTCTTTGATGCATTGTGGAAAACTTTGGGGATTAGAGACATGTTGTCATTATGTGCCGATTCCCTCCCTCGCGATACTTCTATGACTAAGGCTTTATTATGCTTTTGGAGTTCGAATATTAGCGCCTTTACATTCCCTTTCGGGATCTTAACCCCCACTGTGTTGGACATAGTGGCTATCTTAGGGCTACCCACCAAAGGGGTAGAGCCTCATCTGTCGCCGTCTTGCAAACCAGATCGTTTGCTCATTCCTGTGACATATGACAATAACACCACGGTGAGAAAATTTCTAGCTTCCAATAAGTTGTCTGTGGACGTCGACTCTTCTGAGAATAATGCGTTCCTCCTATATTAGCTTAGCAAGTACTTTGTTTGTTGTGCATCGAAGGGATTAGATCGAGAGGCCGAACCAATACTGAATGCCATCACTTCTGCCACTGAACTCGATTTGGCTTCATATTTTTTGGGTCTGTTATACCGTGGTGTAAATGATTTCCTAGGAAAGCTCTCCACTTCGACTTCCCGTGACCCGATAGGGGTTGGCCCTTTATGGTTCCTTGAGTTGTGGGTGCGGCTATATTTCCCTGGTCCGATTAGCCCGCGTCTTGACCCCCCATTTAGTCAGCTTATTGTGTTAGGTCTGCATCTAGTGTCGTGCCCTTCTTTTAAAGGTAATCTTCATTCAATGAAATACTCCATCCTACATGAAAAGAAACAATCTTCAGGTGACTTATGTTCTTTAACCGCCAACCCTGTTGACCCTGATTGGTTGACTGCTCTCCGTGACGACCATTCAGCTGCCGACGATGCCTTCCGCGCGACTTACTGAAATAAATGTCTGACTTCTCGGGTCCTGGTTGGGGGTTTGGCTCTGAGGTCTCGGTATAATCCTCTATTTGTAGAGATATACCAGCCTCAATATTGTGCCCAACAGTTTGGATTGACTCAAGGGGTCCCTATTTTTGGCTTCCTCTTACCGCCTCCTCTAGAGCGAAATCAAAGTTTAGGATTGGCGGTTGTCGATATTTGGCGGACTTATGTTTGTGAATTGGAGAGCCTTCCTTATTCATTCCATCCTCTTAATCCGGATACCCTACCTTCCGTCGATCGGTGGTAGGCCAATTTCCTTTCCCATGTGGACTTGGCCGCTCTACAATTATCCTTAGTTAGACTAGTCGATGAATGTTCGAGCAATGAGGATTCGCCCGATGCTGCTTCCGAGAGGGTAGAGGAGATTTTAGTGGCTCCATCTACAGGTAACCTCTAGCATTTGCCATGCAATCTGGTAATGCATAATCATGCCATTGTTTTCTCTTGTATTGCAGGCATGCCTTCTATGCCGAGCCCCCGACCCGTGTCGTCTTCTGCAATTCGACACTCTCGAACGTTAATTTCGAGGCCAGCCGTGCCCAAGTCGCGATCCAAATGGCCTGCCAATTGACCGGCTTTATTGCCGTCTTCGCCTTAGGTAACTTTCGAAATGAATCCTTAGTCATGAGGTAGGTTCTCATTTTACATATCCGCACAAGCTCCTCCCAAAAAGATCAATCCATTTTACATTGCTGTTTCGGCTGGGAAAACAGCCCTGTTGCCGTCTGCCGTTCGGATATATATGTGCATCCCTTAGTTTAACCTTTGATTGCATGATACACTCTGATTGGTTTCGCCGTACAGGTTTCCCAAATGGAGAATGTTCCTGAATATTTTGCTCGATCACCGGAACGTCTATCTCTTTTCCGTCCTCTTTTCAGCTACTGGTCGATGCCAATCGCGGGTTTACTTTTGGGGCTTGATTTGATTGGTATGACCGTGCAGGTGTCTCGAGGAGAGATTACTCCGAAGATGGTGATCGATTCGGCCTAGACTCACTCCTTTACTTCAACCGATCCTGAGTGTACGAGGACGTCTGCATCTCGGCTGGTCCCTCATGTTCAAATAGTGATTCCTGCTAACGTAGAGGCATACTTCACTTAGGAACCCACTAGGAACGTTCTTTTCCCTTCGATTTTCAGCGGGTTGGATCAGGACCCTTTTGCCGCTTACAAGTCCTCTTTCCAAGAGAATTCGGGGTTCTAGATTCTTTATAGGTATCCGTTTTAGCTACAGCTACCTTTATGTCCCTGGATTCAGATCACAGAAGGCAGCTAGAGGATATGGCCGATCGTTAGGGGGAGGCTTTGGGACGACTAAAGATGTTGCAGGGCCTTCGTAGTGCGAATGACAACAAACTCAAAAAACTGGCAGCCCTGGAGGCGGAGAAAGCGACCTGCACCCAGAACTTCTTAGATGAGAAACAATGAGCTGAGGATGAGGCGGCTTACATAGAGGGTCTACGTGTTGAAGAGGCAACTTTGTGGGCTGAACTTAATTGGATCAAGAACACTTGAAGGAGATCCCATCGGAATCGGATCGCGTGACGGAAAGCCTTGCCACTTGGGCCTCCCAGAGGATGGAACTATATGACTGAGCACGGGCTGTGGATGAGCCCTTGACAGGACTTCGTGGGAAAAAAATCATCATCGAAAGGAATTTCCAGCGAGCCGAGAGAGGGTTAGAAGAGCTGACTTGGCATGGCCGGGTATGATAGCCCAGTGGATTTCCTCGCACCCCGAACACCCAGAGCCAACCGACCAGTGCTCCCCGAAGTCACTAACTACTGTTGGGGAGCCGTTCACCGTAGATGCACCGCCCGTGCTACCAGCCAAGGGCACTTCTGCTGCTGATGTCGGACTTGTGGATGTCAATATTAACCATGATATTGTTCTGGAGATCCTCCTATTGATTAGTATGTTCGGCACAACTTATTTTGGCTTAGCTTTCATTTCCTTCGCGATAATCGGCTAGTGCGCAAGGGAGACTGTTTTTGCGGTTACCAAACAGCATAGTACGTGTTTTGTATTGGCGGTGGTTGGCTTAATGTGTACTTGCCTTCTTTTGTTTAGCTTGTCTTTACGCCTCGATCATCTTAGGCATGCTTATGGCTTTTGAACCCCCCCATTTTTGTTTTTGGTTAAGTAGGTCTTTCTCTTTCTTGTTCCCAGAGAGAGGGGAAAAACCTCTTTAAATATTTTCCATTAATAAATATTTCTAGTTCCTCTCCCTCTGGCTCCATTAGTCTGTATATGCTGCCAGACGATCTGGCTGTTATGATATATGGCCCTTCCTAAGAGGGGGACCATTTCCCCACTTTGCATCCTTGGGGCCTTCCATACCATGTCGCCTTCTTGGAAGGTCTGAGGCCTTGCATGTTTCCGGAAGGCCAATTCGGCCTTTTTCTTTTGATACCGAATGCATTCGAGCTCTTGTAATCACTTATCGGATAAAGCTTCAAGCTCATAGAGCAAGGCCTGAGTATGCTCTTCCCTTGATAGCACATTCGCCTTCAAGATTCGAAGTGAGGGCACCGTAATTTCAAAAGGAGCACGGCATCATGGCCGTAAGTTAGTCTGTAAGGGGTGCTGCAAGTTACGGAGGATTTGGCATTCCTATACGGCCACAAAGCCTCCTCTAAAGTACCATGCCAACCCCTCAGATTATCCTTCAACGCTTTCTTAATAATAGAAATCAAAACTTTGTTCGTTGCCTTGGCTTGTCCATTAGCTTGAGGATAATTAGGAGAGGAGTGGAGTAGTTGGATCCCATACTGGGCTGTGAATGCCTTGACCTTCGCACTCGTAAATGCAGTTCCTTGATCAGTGGTTATCGTCTTTAGAATGCCAAACCTGTGAATAATGTTATTTTTAATGAAATGTATAACATGGTTATGTTGTACCTTGGCTAACAGAACAACTTCCACCCACTTTGTAAAATAGTTTGTGGCTATCATAATGAAAGAGTGCCCCTTAGAAGACGGGGGGTGAATCTTGCCAATGATTTCCATTGCCCATCCATGGAAAGGCCAAGCTTTGATAATCGAATGATGTTCTTCCATAGGGACACGTCAAAGTGGTCGGTGACGCTGACATGCTGGACATCCCCGAGCATAATCTACGTAATCCTGCGAGATTTGTAGCCAAAAATAACCGTATCAGAGGATCGTCCTGTCATAGCTGGTCCAGCCCTATGAGCACCTCCGATGCCTTCGTGGACCTTGGCCATGACCTTCATAGCGTCCCTATGACATAGACAGCAGGCTAATGTTCCGTCGGATCTCCATCGGTACAACTCTTCATTGATTTGAGTGTGTTTTAGAAGCTGGTGGCATACTGCTTTTGGCGCGACCTTCCCAGGGTCTGTTAGACCTTCCAGCAGTAGGGTTCGCCAATCTGCGCCTTGGGTAGCCTGCAAACATTCGAACCTTTGCAATATTTCTCTTTTTTAAATCCGGAGGCCCACTGCGCCAAATTGTGTGCTTCTACATTCGCTTCCCGAGGTATGTCTTCTAATGTCACATCTATGAGCTGCCGAAGAAGGTCATGGGTCTCTTGAAGCAGGTCCTGAAGCTGTGGCTCCTTCAACTTGAATTCTTTGAGGGCTTGTTGGATAACCAGTTGAGAATCCCCTTGAATAACGACCTTCTTGACATCCCTTGCAACCAAAAATCGCAATGCCAATAGTAACGCCTCATATTCGGCTTGATTATTTGTGACACCTTGCGAAAGCTGGTGAGAGAAACGCCCTACTTCTCCTTTTGAACTGGAGATTACTACGCCTGCTCCGGCTGCTCCCGTGGTGCTAGACCCATAAAAAGTCACCAGCTAGGGTTCTAGTCCTAAATAATCCAATGAAACGGCGTAAACTATTCCCAAATGTTCGACCAAGAAATCTGCAATGGCCTATCCTTTGACAGCCTTGAAGGGCTAAAATATCAATGCGAACGATGCCAATTTTAATGCCCATTTAACTAAACAGCCTTAAAGGGCTGGCCTGTTTAATAAATAGCATAGGAGGTCGACTTTGCATATGACTTTAGTTTCAACCGCCATATAAAACTACTCTAATTTCGTTCATGCATTATATAATGACAAACAGAGTTTTTCAATACACGAATAATGTGTTTCATCTTTGTTTAAGGTCTTACTAAGAAAATAAATAGCTCGTTCCTGGACTTCGTCGTCATCTTGGGCAAGGAGGCAGACCATCGTGTCATCGGTCGTGGCTATGTATAGTTTCAGCCCCCTTCCGTTGATTGCCGGCATTAACACTAGAGGAGACACTAACGTCTGCTTAATCTGGTCTAGGGCCTCTTGTTGGGCTGCTCCCCACTCGAATATGCTTTTGTTCCCACGCAGCAACACCAAGAAGGCCTTTATTCTTCCGGCAGCATTGGCGATGAATCTCCTTAGGAAATTGACCTTCCCATCAAGCTTTGCAATTCCTTAATATTGCGTGGGGGCCCAAGGTCTTGGACGGCCTTGGCCTTATTTTGGTCAAGTTTGTTGCCACTTTGATGTACCAAAAACCCCAAAAAAATTCCTATGTGTACTCCAAAAGCGCACTTTGCCGGGTTTATCTTGAGGTCATGCTGCCTCATCCTTATAAAGGCATTCCGAAGGTCCAGTAGGTGGTGATTGAATGCTTGGGACTTCACGACCACGCCATCAATGTATACCTCCATACAAGCACCGATCAAGTCGTGAAAAATTGCATTCATCACCCTCTGGTAGGTTGCTCCGGCATTCTTGAGGCCGAAGGGCATTACTATCCACTCGAAGATTCCGATTGCTCCAGGGCAGCGGAAAGCTATTTTATGGGCATCTTCCTTGGCCAAATATATTTGATTGTAGCCAGAGTAGCCGTCCATAAAGGAAAAAATCTCGTATCCAACCGTACAATCCACGAGCATGTCGGAAATGGGCATCACGTATTCGTCTTTTGGTATGCTAAATTTAGGTTCCGAAAGTCAATGCAGATCCAAATTTTTCTGTTCTTCTTTGCCACTAGAACAATGTTAGAAATCCACTCCGGGTATCTGCATGTTCGGATAAAGTTAGCTTTCAAGAGTTTTTTGACCTCCTATTTCACTTTTGGTAACAACTCCGGGTTGAAATGCCTAAGGGGCTGTTTGTGCGGATGAAATGAAGCTTTGGTAGGTAGCCGATGTTCTACTAAATCTTTGGTAGCCCTGGCATTTCGTGGTAATCCCATGTGAAGTGATCCTTGAATTCCAAGATTAAAGCAATCATTCGCTCCTTTATTTCGACATCCAACAAGGCACTGACCCGTGTCGTCCAAAGGGTTGTCTCATCCCCCAGGTTGATCTCTTCCAGCGGGTCCTGCGCTTCGAAAGGCGGAGCAGCTCTTCAAATTGGTGAAGGAATATCCTATTTGTTTTTATCGTAATCAAGCGGCTGGGTGGGCGCTAGCCCTGCTTGCCCGTCGGGAGGCTGAGCTGCATGATTTTTAACCTGTATGAATGGACAACCAGATGTGGCTGCCCTCGCCTCCAGATCCTGCAAAATCAAGTTGTCACATATGATAACTACCTGAATTATTAGGCCGTGCATCGGCCTCAACCTTGATTTCGAATTCCTTCATGGTTAAATTGCACTCTTTCCATGTTCCAACATCCTCTAGCATCATGGATAATGGGTATACCTTAGGAGAATAGTAAACAACCTCTAGGAATGTACCTCCATGGCTAGGTCAGCCTCGGCCTCCACCGTCTCGACTTGATCCCCGTTCCAAAACATAACTTTATGGTGGAGGGTTGAAGGGACGCATTGGGTAGTGTGGATCAAATCCCTCATGAGAATGGCTGAATAGGTCAACTTTCCTTCGATAATAAAGAAAGCAATCCAATCCATTCTTGTCCCGACCGTTACTTTCTCCACTAAGATGTCTGTTGTCGCGTGCGCATTTCCAGTGAAGTCAGTTGTTCTCATGGATGTCGGGATGAGGTCATTTATGCTTTTCCTGATCTCCCTTAAGGTAGACAAGGTCATAACATTGACGGACGCTCCTCCATCGACCAGGACTTTTCTGACTGTCTGCCCATCGACATGAACAGTGAGGAAGAGGAGTTTCAAGTGATGCGTATTTTTATCCGTTAATTTCTGGAAGATCACTGGTTCTGGTAATTCTTTTTGGATGTCGGAATTTTGGTCTACCCAACACAACGAACAAGTTCCTTCCAATAGAACATCTCTCTGAAGATAATCGGGCTGGGCTGGAGGAGCTTCGAATTCTCATGGTGTGAGGGTTGCTCAAGATCTTGGTCAGATGCTATGATATCGAAGGTAGCTTTTGACGCGTCATCACAATCGAGAGCATCAATCATCGGCTCATCCTCAGGGATCTGGCCTTCCCTGAGTCTCATAGTAAAGTGAGGTCCTGTAGGGTACTCAATCCTCGCAAAAATTCCTTTCGTCCTCCATTCTTTTCGGGCCCGAAGCCGATAGTGGAGGTCTTCCCGACCAAGCTTCGGCCTTCTGGCGGCAACTCCTTCCGAGTCTTGGGACTTCTCCCCCCCAGCCTAATGCTCCTGGGAAAGGTGAGTATCCAAGCGCAATCACTGCATTCTTCTCTTCTGAGTCCTAGTAAGAGGTCGCGTCGCCGGCTCCTTTCTGTTCCTTGTCCAGCTCCCGTCGTCCGGAGCCTTTTCAGGAAGGCGGGTTCGGTGGGGAGTGATTACGACCTGATCCACTGAGGTGACTCGCCAAACCTCACCCCCTTTTTCGAAACTTACTTCCACAACCATGTTCGTGGGGGAGAATCTGTCCCACACCGAATTCTTCCTCGGAGGTTTGACCGACCTTCCGAGCCTTTCCAACACATGTTTTTTAGGGCCGACTCCCTTGTCATCTGCACGAAAGCCTGGGTTTGACTTTTTGGACCTGGTCGGACACATCCCGACAATGTTTATTGGATTTTGGAACAGCTCCGTATCCACTTTCATATCAGGTTTTTTGGCTAACTTGACTCGGCCTTCTTTGATGGCTTTCTAGACCGCATTTGGGAAGGCGATACAACTACCGACCTGATGGACATACATTCCATGCCACTTGCAGAATGAAATTCCATTCAGCTCTTCTTTGGTCGGAATTTTTTGACCTTCTTTGAGGCGGAGCTGGTTATCTTTCAGCTAATAATCAAAAGTCTGCTCCGTTTTGGCAATGTCGAATGAGTAAGATATTTTTGGATTCACCTCTTTCTGTCAGGACGGCTTAAGAACCAGGCATGCATATGCTTTCCCTTACGGAATTTCAGCCAAAAAGGTCTTTTCCTGCTCTTCCTCAACCTTGGTAGTCCTTCTTGGGCAAAGACGCAGTGATTCCCACTTCGGAACTTCTGATTTCGGGCCGTTTGAGCCCCTTTAACGAGTTGTTCGGCTTTCATAGCTTTGGATGTTAGCTTCCACAGATTCATCACCACACTGGCATAAATTGGTCAAATATGAGACGGTTACCTCTGGAAGAGGGCTATAAAAGCGCTCGGGAAAGACTCTCCATATCTACCCACATATGGATGGAATTCGGAGGAAGTGAAGTGTTCCACGAAAAAGTTGGAGCTGTCAAAGCCAAGGAATAAGCTGAAGTTTATACCAATCATTATTCCAGTATTCTCTTCCGCATTGAGCTGTAAATCGGCCAAGATGTTCTATGGTGGAGCGGGAATCTTTGCTCGAAAATAATGTGAATTTGGGGATCCGAGCATTGCGAGGCAGCAGGTGATCGAAAGGGATATACCCCGGGAAAGGCCATTGGTAATGAGGCCTGGCCGGTAAACAGATTGGATCACCGTAAAATCTCCGAATCGCATCCTCGATCGCCTGAGGATTTATGAGTGGCAGCGGCAACACTTCTATCTACCCCCCAAGCTGTTTGGAAGTTGCCTGAGCGGGTGGCGGATTGCGGGCTGCCGACTGCGGGAAGACCTGATGAGTAGGTTCCCGTGGTGGGAAACAAACTCTAGGGACTTCCATATTTTCCTTGAATGTTGAAGTCTGTTGTACCGAAGATTTCCAGGGGTTGTTTGGGCATAAAATTCAAAATTATGTTATATCCCAGACCTAGCAGTGAACTGACCTTCCGTGGCAGCTACTTGACCCCTAGTGTATTGGGATGTCACCGGGACGGCTCCTCCTGGTCCCCACATTGTCCCAGAAGGTGCTGGAGCTAAAGAAGGCACTGGCACCGCTGTCAGCCCTGTCCCCCAAGTGTTTGCGGTCCCTTGTTCGACCGTCGGATGCCCTTGGGGGCAAGGAACTAGAGCTGGGGTGCCAATGGCGGCTCCAGTGAATGAAGAACTCGAATGCCAATACGGGGCCGACGGCACTAACTTGAAGGTTACGCCAAATCCACTTGTCGGAGCGCGGCTCGAAAGAGGCCTACCGAGCCGGCGAGCTAGATTCTTTGAGCTTCCGGGCATTGGACGAAGGTTCTTCAGATCCATTTATACCGAAGATCATGACCTGACCATATATGGGCGCCTGAGAGGTCGGTTTCATCCCGGAGTTGGTTGTGAAGGTGGCGGGTGGCCAGTTTTCCAGCAGATTGGAGCTGGCCATCGGGGCCTTGTCTTTTTGACCTTCCTCTTCCCGAAGCAGCACAAATCCGGTCTGAATAGTGGGCTTCAACACGTCAATAATGTACTTGGACAATTCCAAGGCAGATTCATAGAGGGAAGACTGAATTTTCCCCCGAATTTGCTTCTAGAGTACGCTGGCCGGAAGGCTGATGATGGGATCCGACCTTTCAGCCACTGCAGAGGCTTCGTCACGTAGGGCAGCCTCTTGTCTAGGGTGTGATGATGAGTCATCGACATATCCCTGGTTGTCGGAGGTGTCAGTTTTCAAAGTGGGTTGATTGGACGTGCAGGCCAACTTGCTGATCGGGGCCGCATGCTGGTCCGCGAACCATCATTCTGGGCTGCATCTGACTGGGCCGGCCCAATTAATTATTTGGATGTATACATCCTAATAACAATTTTTAAAAGTTAGCTAATCAATAGTATTTATTTAAGATAATATATGTTGAAATTTTTAGAAAATAATAGGTGGATAAAATATATTAGATTATATAAAAGCAATAGCCACAAAGTAAATAAATACATTTATATGTTTACATGATTAATATAAATTAGTTGATGAGTGCGGTGTTAACGGAATGATATCTTTGCACCGTGGTACGTATGAAGACAAATGCTATTGTTCCAAAGAATGGATCAAATTTTGTTAGCATTATACTACTCTTTGTTTCAATAAGGGCAATTCCGATTCATTTTGGGTTTAACAAAAATTAAACCAAAGTTTTGGCTTTCCACGAACACATGTCAATTTTCATCGAGTTATGGTAAATTTGTATTATATTTAGTAAGTGAAAATTGTAATGGCTGTAATTATTTTACAAATTACAAGTAATGACTGAGAATAGGTAATTCTATTTTTACACAATTGCATTTCATGTTCGCATTATCAAATCTTCATCAACAACAAAACATAATTGGCCAGTTAGGGATTTAAGCGCCTAAAGGTGCGATGAAATTGTGGAAGCGGATCGAAACACAATTGAAGCACAAACAAAATATTGCAAAACATGAAATGAACATAAGATTTACGTGGAAAACCCAAAACGGGAAAAAACCACAGATGATGAGGAATCCACTAGATGAATCGAATGTTTTCAATGTTACAAATCGAATGATTAACATCTCTCAACCCCCAAAAACATCCTCTTATCAATATATATGCAAAAAGGAAAGTTTTGACCTTCTAACATGGAAGGTAAATCAAATCGATAGAGATCACCAATATATGGAAGGATGGAGATATGGAATCTTAGGAAATCATTCATTGATCATGCCCATGACTCTAATGATTTGGTGCCAAGTCAACCTTGCCATCTTGGACGTCCGTGATTA